ATTATCCAGAGTATGTGTTTACCAGGCTGGGCTGTAATTCCCAGTGTTTTGGATGAAATGGTGCAGACAGATTTGACATGATCAATTTCTATTTGATAAGTTTTTCAGTTGTGAAAGGATTACACAATCCTGATCCCAAGTTAAAGGAGTTTCCCTGAGAAACTGCAACGCCTGTTATCTTAAGATATATAAAGAGAGAGACGGGAGCAGAGAGGGAGTAACCTCTGCATCAAAAGACAGATTCTTCAAAGATTTAATAAATGAATAATTCTTGTTTTCCTAAATCTCTGTGGTTTTCAGCAGAAGCGAGGTTCTGACAGGCCACCTGCCAAATGACAGGAAGGAACTCTGGGTTTCCCTTGCTCTCCTCACTCATTCCCTTGTGTTCTCCCTCCAGCTCTCGTGTGTCAATATTCCTTGTGTGGTGGTGACTTCCAGACACAGGTGTTGAGAGGCCCCTCTGGTCTCCGCACCTCAGTGTTCCCAGCTATGACCTAGGAGGTAGGAGTGGATGGTCTACCAGCTCCTCCCACCCCCATAGCTTGGGTTCCCTTCTTCCCCCTCAGTGGTGGCCCAGCCCTCTGGCACCCACATGCTTCCTGTTGGGTCTTGCTCAGCCTCACCCCAGACTCAGGGCGTTTCCTTGTCTGAGAGAGGGACCTGCTCCCGGCCATGCTGTCCCTGCTGCTGCTGTCCCTGCTGTGTGGGGGTGAGAGGGTTAAGTATGAGGGCAGGTCATGGGGGTCTGAGGTGGGGCTGCAACTGAGTGTCTCTGTCTCCCAGAGTCCCTGCAGGAGAAGCCAGGATACAATCTACAGCTGCCGAAGGTGGTGACAGTGCAGGAAGGCCTGTGTGTCATTGTTCCCTGCAGATTCTATTACCCTGAGGAATCCAGTTTTGCTTCTGACCCACTCTACATCTACTGGTTTCGCCAAGGGGACAGTCTACGCTATGATGATCTAGTGTTCACAAATGAGCCGTATCGAGAAGTGAATGCAGACACACAGGGCCGATTCCACCTCCTTGGGAATCTCAAGTCCAACAACTGTTCCCTGGGCATTACAGATGCCAGGAAGAGAGACGCAAGGACCTACTTGTTCCGAGTGGAGAGAGGATGGAATGTAAAGTACAACTATCGAGACACGAAGCTGAACTTGTGGGTGACAGGTAGGGCAAGGGTCTCTGAAAAGGATTCTGGGCCAAGGGATGCCCAGTGTTTGTGCAGAGACGGGAAGTGCTTCTTGTGGTCTGGGGACACTGAGGGTGGCCTGGAAGGGTTTCAAGTCCTGTGCTCAGACCCTGAGGACCTGGGCCTTCTCGGGACCTCACTCTGGGTCCCCAACCTCTTGGGATCCAGACATTTATTCCCCTCCCTCTTCCTCAGATCTGACACAGAAACCTGACATACACACTTTGGAACCTCTGACATCTGGTCGCCCCACTAACCTGACCTGTAGCCTACCAGGATCCTGTGAGGAGGAAAAACTTCTCACTTTCTCCTGGAAAGGGGACGCCCTGAGTGCACTGGACTCTCAAGTCCTGAAGTCCTCCGTGCTCACCTTCACCCCAAGACCGCGAGATCACGGCACCAACCTCACGTGTCGGGTCAAGCACCGATCATCTCAGGTGACCACAGAGAGGACCGTTGGGCTCAATGTCTCCTGTAAGTGTGGACTGGGGTGAGTTGGACACTGAAGGTGGTGAGAGTGTTGGGGGGTGTGTGTGTGTGTGTGTGTGTGTGTGTGTGTGTGTGTTACGGGAATGTGTGTGAGAGAGAGAATAAGAAGAAGGAGAAGGAGAAGAAAAAGTAGAATGAAGAGAGGCAGAGAAACAAAGAGTGGGGGACGTGGGGGAGAGAAGAATGAGGAGGTACAGAGACAAAGACACAAATAGACCCATAACCTTAGAAACCTCACTCTTTGATATGATCATGGGTGTCATGAGGCAGTGGGCAAGCAGTGCAGGAGTGACATGCAGGAATGGCTTCCTTCCCCATTTCCATGATTCCTTGGGTTTCAGGGCCAACGTCCAGGTCACTCCGGATCTCTGATTGAGTGCCTTCTCTCTCCATCCTAGATACTCCACAGAATCTCTCGGTCCTCATCTTCCTCCAAAATGACACAGGTAGGAAAGAGTCAGCCCTCTCTGGAGTGACTTGGAACAGAAGTGGGAAATCAGAGGTCAGATGGGATCTGCCTATAGGAACAGCAAGGATGACCCTCCCCCACCACTCACCGCACACACACTCTGTTCAAAGTGGAGAGTCTCACCTTGGACCTTCTCATATCCCTATCCTTCCTGAGCTGCAGAGCTTCCCACCCAAGACCTCTTTGTTGCCAGATCCAAGGCCTAGTCCATGCCGATTTTGTTTCACCATCGCGGGGCTAGGTGGTGCTTCTCGTCTTCCTTCAGCCTGGCCCCACCAGCTCTCCATCCTATTGCATTAACTAGTCAATTGCGCATAGCTTTCTGGAGCAATCTTTTCTCTCTCTTTGTAACTCCCTTCCGGTGATATACTGAGTCTCCTGTGAATGTATGAAGCCAAACACTTTTAGTCAAGCTTCTTAGGGTGTAAGTCTCCAGTCTTTGAATCCAATGTGGATGATGAGTAGGGTGGGTAAAAGGAGAAGAAATCTGGGCCGGTGAGGAGGGAATGAGTACTGCCAGTTTCGTTCCTTCCACTGCTCATAGTATCTCCCCATCTCTCTCTCTCTCTCTTTCTCTCTCCCCCCCCCATTTGTTTCTCTCTCCATGTTCTCTCTCCCTCTCAATCTCTCTCCTCAAAGCCTTCAACGTCACAGCGAATGTCTCATCCCTTACCATCCTAGAAGGCCTGTCCCTGCGTCTTGTGTGTGTTGTTGATAGCAACCCCCCTGCAGTGTTGAGCTGGTCCCATGGCTCGCTCGCCCTGAATACCTCCCTCAACATGAACGCTGTGGACCTGAAGCTGCCTCAAGTAAGGATTGAGAATGAAGGAGAGTTCGCCTGCAGAGCTCAGAACCCACTAGGCTCCCAAAATATCTCCCTGAACCTCTCTGTGCTTTGTGAGTGTGGGGACACCTGGGAGCTGGATATTGGGGTCCTGGGGAAGTGGTAGGCACTATTGAGCCTTTTCTTCCTTTTCCACAGATCCTCTACAACTACTGGGGCCCTCCTGCTCCTGGGAGAGCAAGGGTCTGTTCTGTAGCTGCTCTGCCCAAGCCTGGCCAGCTGCTTCCCTGCACTGGTGGATTGGGGATGAGCTGGTGGAGGAGAACAGTAGTAATGTCTCCTTCTCAGTCATCTCCAGCTCTACTGGGCACTCGACCAACAGCTCCTTGAGACTCAGCCTGAATCTCATCTCTGTCCTCAGACTCCGCTGTGAGGCCTGGAATGATCATGGGAAGCAGAATAGCACTGTCCTTGTCCTGCCAGGTTAGGGGGGATCTCTTGCAGGGGAGGCTGCTAGGGAGAAAAGATGGAGCCTGGATATGACAGTGCTAAAGACAGTCATCTCATGGCTTAGGAGCCACTTGGAGCAAGTTCCCCAAAGAGGTGGGAGGAAACGTGCCTGAGTCCGTGAGTGAGTCTCCTTTATCTGTGTCTTCTCTGCAGGAAAAACAGCATCCAGGGCAGAAATCATTCTGGCGGGCCTTGGAGGTGCTGGCGCCATGGCCTTGTTCTCCCTGTTTCTGTGCCTCACCTTCCTTTGCATGTAAGTCTTGATCTTAAGGAGGTAGAAGGAAATAAACAGTACAGAGTGGAGAGAGAGGCCACTGAATCCCAGAAACAAAAGAGCTGAACAGACTTAGAGGGGTCTTTTTGACCTTTGTGGTTGTTTTTGCCAGCAGCTTTATTCTGATATAACCCCCATAGTATACAGTTAATTCAATCTCTCTGACATCCTGCAGACACAAGCAAAGAGGCAGAGCCCAGATGGGAAGTCACTAGTGTTTGTTCTTATTAGTACAGCACTTGTCTGTCAGTTTGCTGTACTTGGATAATTTGTGGGTTGCTGAGATGCTGGAAGCAAATGCCAGGTGGGCAGGTTTTAGCAGAGCTCCCAGATTAAGACAGACTAGGAAGCAGGATTGGCCATCCACTTCTGAAATAACATGCCTCTGAAAACTCTATGAATGATACAGAAATAAAGCATCGGGATAGGACAGGGTTCAGCTCTGTCGTTCATAGGGTCACTGTGAGTCATACTTGACTTGACAGCAGCTAACAATGATATGCTTAATTAAAATGTAAATATGCAGAGGCGCATGGTTCAAATCCAACAGATGCTCTGCTGGAAAAGGAGGGGCAATCTCCTCCTATACTGGTCAGATCTGATTTGACAGTACACACACACAAAAATAAAAAATTATAATAAAATGTAAATATAGTCCAATGACTTTTCGTCATTCACAGGGCTGTGAAACTTTTCACTACAATCAAGTTTAGAACTTTTTCATCAATTTAAAATTGTGTACCTCTTAACCTTAACCTCTTAACTTGTTCTCCTTAGTCAAACTAATTCTTCAAAGTCCTGGACAACCACTAACCTACTTTCTGTCCCTATGGATTTACCTATTCCGGACATGTCATATAAACGGAATCACACAATATGTGGCCTTTTGTGTCTGACTTCTTTTTCTTAGAATTATGTTTTCAAGGACCATCTATATTGAACCACAGAGTGAGACTTCATTTCTTTTTATTTCTGAGTACTATCTTGCTCTATGGCTTTATGACATGTTGTTTATCCACTCATTGACATTATGGTACATTCACACAATGAAATAGTACGCAGCACGCAGGAGCAATGACTTTGTAAATTATGACCTAACTTGGGAGGAACTGGAGAGCATTATGCTGAGTGAACTAACTCAGTCCCACAAGGATAAATATCATATAAAACCGTTATTGTAGAAGGAGTATAAGGATCCAGGAGGGGTGGGAGAGGCTGGAAGCAGAGGGATGCGGATGTGCAGGGGGAAGGAGGGATTAATCATTGGGTTGTACAATTTGATGTGTGTGGGGGTGAGGGAAATTGAAAGGATTTGTTCAAATTTATATTTGAGTTTTGTAAATAAACTAGCAGGGAGGAGAAAAAGAAAGAGGGGTCTCCAGTTTTTTACTCCCTTGGTCCAAAGTGTGGCTTCCCTCTGTAAGTCTTATCATTCAAAAAGGAGGAGCCCCCCCTCACTTTCAGGAGGGCCTCAAAGCCCAGCTCCAGGACTTGGCACTTCAGCTGTCATTTGCAGCCTCTTCACCAGGAGCGGAAACAGCCTGCCTACTCCCAGTGAGCCATCCCAACTGCAACATGCTCCTTTCCCCCCTTAGCGTGAAAGCCCGCAGGAAGCAGACGTCAGGGACAGCAGAGGGCATGGGTGATGAAGACCCCATCATGGGCACCGTCTCCTGGGTGAGTGACGTGGGTGTCTTCACATACGGGTAGCCTGAGCTCCTCCAGGTTTCTGCAAACATGCTCATCTTGCTAGTGTCTTCCCACTGGCACTGTCACCTCCCTGGGCACTTACCTGGGCAGGCACCTGTGGAGCTGTCCTCTTCTCTGTTCTCCTTTCATCTCTCAAAGCCAGTGAACCACTCGGTTCCTTAGAACACTTTTTCCCCAAGTAAAGCCAGTGTGGACCGAGGACTACTTGCCTTCACAGACTGATCCTGAGGAAGTGGGGTGACCATCGTTGCTGACCTCTGAGCTCACTCCATCTTCCCCAGTCTCTTTATCTAGTTGACCTTTCTTATTCAGATACGGAGGTGGGGGTTGTTCACGTCCATCAAGCCAATTCTGATGCGTGGTGACTTCTTGCGTGCAGAGTGTAACTGTTCCATCTGATTTCCTAAAATCCAGGGAGCGTCTGACTTTCTCTGGAGTCATTTCAGCCCAAGATGGAATCTTATGAATTGGTGTTCACTATACCACCTCTCACCAACCATCTACCAGTCCTGACATCAACTATCCCTCTTAGGACACTTTCTACTTCTCTGCTGGTTCCACCACTTGTTGTACAAAGCTCACAGACCATACTCACAGCTGTGTGTTTTATTAGGGAAGTAACAGGGTCAAGAACACCCAGGGTGGCCTGTTTTCAGCTGTGCCCACACGCACACCTCTTTCTGGTTCTCAGCCTCTCCACCCATCTTCTGCACAGTGCTGTTGCCTCTCTTCATCTCTGGAAAACTCTGGTGGTCTCGTGCCAACGAACTGTGCTGCCGACCCAAAGTCAGGCAGTTTGAATCCACCAGCAGTTCTGTGGAAGAAAGATGGTGAATCTCCCATCGTGAGATTTACAACCTTTGAGACTTGCTGAAGGGTCAGACATTGAGTTGGTTCTGATTCAACGGCACATGGCAATAACAATAACCATCTCTGATGCCACAGTGCATGTGCTCTCTCCTCTTCCCCTCTCCCCCCTTCCCCCTTTCCTCTTCTCTCATCTCCTCTCCTCCCCTCCCCTTCTCTCCCCTCTTCTCCCTTCTCTCTCTTCTCCTCCCCCTTCTCTTCTCTCGTCTTTTCTCCACTCCTTTTCTCTCCTCCTTTTCTCTTCTCTCCTCTCCACTCCTTTTCTCTCTTCCCCTTCTCTCCTCTCCTTTTCTCTCTCCTCTCTTCTCCTCTCCTCCCCTCTCCTCTCCTCTCCTCTCCACTCCTTTTCTTTCCTCTCCTCTCCTCTCTTTTTCTCTCCTCTCCTCTCCTCTCCTCCCTTCCCCTTCTCTCCTCTCCTCTCCTCTCCACTCCTTTTCTCTTCTCCCCTTCTCTCCTCTCCTCTACCTCTCTCTCTGTGCCCTCGCTCCCTCCCATCCTCCCTCCCCCCTTTCCTCCCTTTCTCTTCCACCCCGATTCCTGGACTGTGGAAATTTTCAGCACGGGTTCAAAGCCCAAAGAGCTTGCTGCCCTCCCATTTTTTACTGGTGGTCATAAAGTTCCCCTTTCTGCCTCTGAGACGGCTCACTTGTAGCCCGGTGGAATGGTAAAACCGACCAATGTCCTAATTGAGGTCCCATATTTCTTATAGTCATGGTTATTAGCAATCCATTTCCCTTGGTTGGCTACAAGCACCTTACTTGCATCTTCCCAGCCAGTCATTTGTAAGATGTTACAAGTTCTGTGGGTAGAAGGGCCATATTAAGTAATTAACTGCACCACAGGTCTTCAAAATGAAGACTTTTCAGAAGCCAACCACCAGTTCTGTTTTGAATCATCATCTTTCTGGCTGGTAATTGTGCATTTGCCTCCATCAAAGAGGGCTTTCTTGTTACTATTGAAAATGCTATCTTCTTCTAAAGTCAATTTTTCAGTTACTTAGTGCTGGTATATAGATACCAAAGTATTTCAATAAATTTTTTTTTCATTTTTTTAAAAAATCAAAACACATAAACACAATGTGGCCTTGAGTGCCATTGAAATCTTCCTGCAGTGACTGGAGGAATCCCAGATCTTAGTCATAAGCCTTAGTGGCACAGTGAATTAAGTGTTGGGCTGCTAACTGGAACTTTGGCAGGTCGAATCCAAGGCACTCTGCAAGACAAAGATGACGTGGTCCACTCCCATTATGGCTTATAGCCTTGGAAACCCAAAGGTTGCCATGAATTGAAAAGGGCAAGTGGTTATATATAATATAAAATGGCATATATAAAAGGCAGCTCTGGTGGTCTAGCGGCAAGAAGCTGCACTGCAATCCAAAAGGCATGCAGTTTGAGGCCACCAGATGCTCCATGGGAGAAGGTTGGGCACGCTCCTCCTGTGCAGTTAACTACTTCTGAAAACCCACTGGAGGGTCAGCTATTGGCCGGTTCTGACTCTATGGTACACAACAACAACAACAACATATACAAAGACTTATGATGGCAATAGGGCATATATAAGCCAAAAGAAGATTGGAGCTTTGAACTTAGCAGCCATGGGTGAAAGATGAGACAGTCTGATTTTATAGATTCCAGCCTTGGAAATCCTACGGGGCTGTACTGCTCTCTCCTACAGGCTCTCTACGGGCTGGTGTTGACTCCACAACTCCATGGCAACAAGTTTGATTTGGAGTTTTTATGGATAAGCCTTAACTGTCCTTTCTCTGTCGTTTTCTTCAAGAATTTGCTTAATACCCTCCTAGGTAGGCTTCAGTGGAGCTCTGGTAAAGCCAAAGATTAAGCATTGGGCTCCTAACCAAAAGGTCAGCAGTTCAAAACACAATCGCAGGGTAAAGACGATGCAATCTGCTTGTGTAAAGACTCACAGTGTCCGAAGCTCTTTGAGGCACGTCTGCTCCTTCTCACAGGGCTTGCGTGAGTGGGTTCTGCATGCCGGTGGATTTCAGGCAGGTACTGAGGAAGATTTCCCTCCTGGAAACCTTTCAGATGCATTTTCTTATCCTAAGAGATTTCCGATTTCAAGAAATGACCCACCCTCCTGTATTGCTAGGGAAGTGAATGCGCGTATACAGACCTCGTCTTGTAAAGGAAGCGCCCATGTAACACCGGATTGTGTGCAATGTGTGATTACAGGTTGTAACCAGTTCCTTTTCATTTCCCACCACATGCCAACCCAGAGCTTCTCCTTTTTCTTTCCTGCCTTGAAGGGGCTGAGCCCTTCTTCTGGGTCTCATTAAGAGTCTTCACGAAAGCTGTGTCTCTTCAGAATGGCACCCACCTCTCTCTTGGGATGTCAATTGTTTGGGTGCTGGGAATGGTGTTTGTTTTCTCAGTAGATGCAGCAAAGGGTGACACACACCTATGCTTTTATTTTATTTATTTTATTATTTTTTAATTGAGATTTTAATGAAAGATTATGGATAACTTGGATTTCCAATCATTCATTGTTGTACGTTTGTTGCAGACCGAGGGTCCCAAAGAATGGAATAATTTTATAATTATTAATAAAGAGACAAACCGCCAGGAATGTGATAGAGCAGAGAGCATAAATCAGGGGGCCAGCAGTTCTCGACTGAAGACCCCAAGCCAAGCTTCTCTGTGTCTTTATTGAAAATTATCAGGAAGTAAATCACAAAGAGATTTCAATGCAAATGAAGCCAAGCTCTTTCTATTGAAAACCTTCTGCTTGACTCAGGAAAGAGGGGTTCACAAATGCAAGAATTTGGGTTACCGTTAAGGATTAGCCTTGATACCTCTGGGTGAACTCTAGGTCAGGAAGTAACACTCTCTCTGTAGGGGGCCCCTTGCTGTCTCCTGTCTGCAGGGAATAAACAGCTCATTTTCTAGGATCTGCCACAAGAGAAATCCTAACTTATAAATCTGTAATACCTTCAATTCCTGAACCAGGGTTTTCATATAATATTTGGTATAAAGTTTGGCTTCCCTTATACATTTTCCTCCCTGACCACCCCTTCCCCCTCTGTTCACTTTTCTCTTTGAAAAGAGAAAAAAATATTTCATTGTTATACAATCCCACCCCGGTCCACTTTACTATGCAGTTCTTATTCTAGACTCTTGTCAAGCAAATAATACCTAATCATTTGTCCATTTTAAACAGTTATTGCCTTCTTCTGTTTCAATGCACTGTATATTTTTTATCTCCTCTTTTCTTAGTTTTCCCCCAAACCCAATGTCAATCCTGTTTTATAAAAGTGGCATTATGCAGTATTTGTCCTTTTGTGACTGAGATATTTCACTCAGCATAATATCCTCCAAGGTCACCCATTTTGTATAATATTTCCTAAATTCCTTGTTTTTCAATGCATATTATTCCGTTGTGTAAATATACCACAGCTTCTCTATCCATTCATTTGTTGATGGGCTCTTGGGTTGTTCCCAACTCTTTGCTATTGTGAACAAAGCAGCAATCAACATAGGTGTTCATTATTTATTTATTTTTTTTAGTGTGTGATTTGAGTGAAAGTTTACAGGGGCTTTTAAATCATGCAGATTTTGTTCAATGGCATCAATTCAAATACAATCTCTAATCATCCATTCAACCCATATAGTTGTTCCTTTCACCTATCTTAATAATTGTTTATTATCTACTTACTCATTTTCTGCTCCCCTCCCCTTCCCTTCTTCAACTTGGTAGCCATAGGAGAATGATTTTGTGTATGTGTAAATCTGTCTCAGCTGTTTATAATAGTAGTTTTAGACACTATTTGTCTTTTATGATGAGCTTGTTTCACTCAGCATAATGCCCTCTGGAACACTCACGTTATGTAGCACTTTATGAATTCTTCATTGTTTTTCAATGCTATGTAGTACCTCACTGTGTGAATGTATCCTAGTTTATCCATTTGATCATCGATTGGCCCTTGGGTTGCTTTCATCTCTTTGCTGTTGTGAATAACGTTGCTATAAACATGAGTGTGCATATGTTCTTATTGCAGCTCATATTTCTTCAGGATATCTACTTAGGGAGCTCTCGTGGCCTAGGGCGTAAAAAGTTGTGCTGCCAGCCCAGAAGCTGATGGTTTGAATGTACCAGTTGATCCTTGAGAGAAAGATAAAACAGTCTCTTACAGTGTGATTTACAGTCTCTGAAAACCTACAAGAAGGTCAGCTATGAAGTAGTCAAGAGTCTAGGGGAGCTCTGGTGGCCTAGTGGTAAGGAGCTGCAACTACAATCCCAGAGGCGCATGGTTCAAATCCACCAGATGCTCTGCGGGGGAAGGAGGGACAATCTCCTCCTGTACCAGTCAGATCTGATTTGA